GAGGCAATCTAGTTGGTTATAGTTGGTAGAATGAGGCAATCTAGTTGGTTATAGTTGGTAGGATAAACCAATGTAGGTGGTGGTAGTTGGTAGGATAAACCAATGTAGGTGGTGGTAGTTGGTAGGATAAACCAATGTAAGGTGGTGATAGTTGATAGGATAAACCAATATAGGTGGTGATAGTTGGTAGAATGAGGTTATCTAGTTGGTTATAGTTAGTAGGATAAGCCAATGTAGGTGGTGATAGTTGGTAGGATAAACCAATGTAGGTGGTAGTAGGTGGTAGGATAAACCAATATAGGTGGTGATAGGTGGTAGAATGAGGCAATCTAGTTAGTTATAGTTGGTAGAATGAGGCAATCTAGTTGGTTATAGTTGGTAGGACAAACCAATGTAGGTGGTGGTAGGATAAACCAATATAGGTGGTGATAGTTGGTAGGATAAACCAATATAGGTGGTGATAGTTGGTAGAATGAGGCAATCTAGTTGGTTATAGTTGGTAGAATGAGGCAATCTAGTTGGTTATAGTTGGTAGGATAAACCAATGTAGGTGGTGGTAGTTGGTAGGATAAACCAATGTAGGTGGTGGTAGTTGGTAGGATAAACCAATATAGGTGGTGATAGTTGGTAGAATGAGGTTATCTAGTTGGTTATAGTTAGTAGGATAAGCCAATGTAGGTGGTGATAGTTGGTAGGATAAACCAATGTAGGTGGTAGTAGTTGGTAGGATAAACTGGTGTGGGTGGTGATAGTTGGTAGAATAAACTGGTGTGGGTGGTGATAGTTGGTAGGATAAACTAATATTTGTAGTGATAAAAAACAATGTTTGTGATGATAGTTGGTAGGATAAACCTGTTGGGAGTGATTATTCTTGTTGATGAATTATCTAACTGCAATTATTTTTTCATTAAAGGAGAGCATGATATCGTACCATTGTATGATGATACAGACTCAGTGTTGTCTGATGAACCTCCTCCTCCCATTCCACCAAAACCTACAGATAGTGAAAAATCTCCACCTCCCAGACCTGAAGTGAGTATGTACAAGTGTGTTTAGCAGGCCATTATTCATATTTTGACTTTGTGTTACATGTACATCATTGCATTGCTGTAACATCACTAGTGTTAAGGAGATGTGAACTAAAAATACCGATAGAACACAAAAATATCGAACTAAATTAAGCACTCAATATGAAGAATGTATAATTTTCAAACATTTTTATAATAGATTCAGTGTCTGTGTGTTTTCTTGCATAACTGTTGTGTGTTGTGTATTTATACTGCACTCGATCCCTTTGTGTCATCATATTGTATAATAACAATATGAAGTTAACCATAATGCTATGTTGCAGCTATGTAACTGAATCCTCATCTAGTATGGCAGTTTCCAAACTTGATGGAAATAAGTAATTATCTTTCGCTGTATCTTAATTAAGATTACAATGTATAAGCTGATACTAATTGACCTCATGTATCAACACTTCATATTACCAGTCACCAGCAGACAGTGATCTGTCATTGCCTTCTAAAGCATCATCCGATTCTAAAAGACGTCCTTTGTCAGTACATGATGGAGATACTGTCGATGGATGGAAGCCATCACCCAAGGAAAGTATATTCAGTATATTTTGTGTAATCATTGTTTTGTAGTGTGTCACATATTTTGTTATTACCTTGCCGGATCGCCATTAGATTTCATGTCCTCATTGTTGTTGTCTTCAATGTGAACTGTTTTTTATTGTGGTTACAATAACTGAAATAGTTTGTATCTGATTTTTTTCAAACTTAAACATTTTATTAACCAGTTTCGGATCTTGGGCATGAGGATTATCAGATGAAATTTCACTTAAAATTGTCTGTTTCTTGTGGTTACAATGACTCAAACAATTTTAGAATCTTATCACACACTATAAAATGTCAAGTAATTTTTAGTGCAGTTGTCAAGATATGATTTAAAATTTGACTGAAATAAACATTTGTTAAACATAGAAATAAGCAGACAGAATAAAGACATTTATACTGCTAGTGATATGATTCAGATGACAGTAATATGCTCTGCAAGGTCTGCTAGGTTTTCCCTTTTTCAAATCTGGCTAGTATTTTTAGCTCCGCTGTCGACTTTGTCGAGCGAAGCTTATCATATGAGTGATTGTTCGGCGGCGTCGTCCGGTGCCCGTCGTCCGTGTCAATGTTTTACTTTTTCGACTTCTTCTTGAAAACTACAAGCCTGAATGCTTTGATACTTGGTGAATATGTACCTCTCTCAGATTTGTTCATTTCATGATCATATCTTCAATTCTCCAGTTTTGGTGAATATTTTTGTCATTTTTGGTAAAAAGTGATATTTTCGACTTCTTGTTAAAAACCGCAAGTCCAATTGCTTTGATACTACATATGAAGGTACTACATGTGTATCTCTCTCAGATTTGTTCATTTTGTAATGATATCTTCAATTCTCTAATTTTGGTGAATATTTTTGTCATTTTTGTTTAAAAGTGATATTTTTGACTTCTCGTTAAAAACCGCAAGTCCAATTGCTTTGATATTACATATATAGGTACTACATGTATATCTCTCTCAGGTTTGTTTATTTTGTAATGATATCTTCAATTCTCTAATTTTGGTGAATATTTTTGTCATTTTTAGAAAAAGTGATATTTTCGAGTTCTTGTTAAAAACCGAAAGTCCAATTACTTTGATATTACATATATAGGTACTACATGTGAATCTCTCTCAGATTTGTTCATTTTGTAATGATATCTGTAATTCTCTAATTTTGGTGAATATTTTTCTCATTTTTGGTAAAAAGTGATATTTTCAACTTCTTGTTAAAAACCGCAAGTCCAATTGCTTTGATATAACATATATAGGTACTACATGTGGACCTTTCTCAGATTTGTTCATTTTGTAATGATATCTTTAATTCTCTAATTTTGATAAATATTTTTGTCATTTTTGGTAAAAAGTGATATTTTCGACTTCTTGTTAAAAACGACAAGTCCAATTGCTTTGATATTACATATACAGATACTACATATGGACCACTTTCAAATCTGTTCATTTCATAATGATATCTTCAATTTTCTAATTTTGGTGAATA